GATTTGATAATACAGAATGGGGGGAAGGATTAGGCCTCCAGTAACCTCACTCACAAATCCAACGTTAACATTGCTTTACTGTATTGTTAGGCCGTGATATCACTCCGGTCAAGCCAACCCATTCGTGACGAAGCATGGTTCTCCCACACTTAAAGCACAAGAGCGTGTTTTAAAAGATCATGTTTTATATAAGTACGATGTTCTTCTTCCTCCAGGTACAGATGAAAGAGTAATACATATGTTGACAAGCAATGCACCGATCTTCTCCTTCACTCGTATCGACGAGGACCACTTCAACTTCACACTGCAGATGAGCAACAGAACCATGACACATGACTTCAAGCTGGGAGAAGAACACGAGATGGAAAGACGAGATGGCTCCAAGGTAGAGATCTTCACTCCCTTTTTTTGAATTGTAACTAAATATTGTACGTCGCCTCAGACGCAGATCAAGAATAAGAGTCCCGTTGTGATTTGAACTAGTAGAGCTTTTCTCCGTTGATTCATATGAGTAAGTTCGTTTCAATAAATCCTCTCTCTCCTTTCTAAACAATCACACATCACATCATCAGCCTATGAGTGCCCACTGCTGAACAAAGGCCTTTTCTCACACGGAAAAGGTTTGAGTATTAATCACCACACTTGCTCAAAGCGGATTGACAATTTCAAACTTATAATTAGATACTAGAGTCCAGGTTTCCTTACGATGTTTTCCTTCACGGTATGTCAGTGGTGTCTAAATAATCATAGAAAGTACATATAACTCGGAAAAAGTCACCTTTATGTATGTGTAGCGGGCGCCTTAACCTCCGGGCCACCACGATACTAATGCAAACAACATCTAATACCATTTATTTATTTAGATTCACTTCAAAATAAATATTTTTACTTAACTTCTATGGATGTTTTTATTGTTCTTAACATCTTCGAAAAATGCTGTCATAATATTTTCTAGCTAACCTTACATTCCTATATGTCTTATTCACGTAATATTATTTTTTTCCTTTTGTGTTTTCTAGGTTAGAATAACATACACGTTAGAAGGTGACAATGTTTTAAAACAAGTCATCATACCGAAAGATGGAAGAGTAGCATACTTCAGACGAGATTTCGGAGAAAAAGAAGCTAAAATGGTAAGTTTAATAATATAGCAAAATTAAATATTTTATTTAATATTTTGTGCAAGTTCTCAAACTTAGTATTATAAATGCAAAACGAATAAAACCTTCATGCTGCATAGATGAATCCAAAAATACTGGCTGTTTTTTGGCAAAACAACAGGAAAATGCCATAAAAGATGTTTTTTAAATTTTTGCTTTTTATACTTTTAATGGCATTGACACATTTTTTTCGTGTAAAACAGCCTGTATTTATACGAATACCGCATTTTATATAAAAACTCTTTTTTGACAAACTGTGGGATATTTAAAAAAACGTCTAACATTTTTAATGTAATTGAGTACTTTACTTTTTTTTTTAAACACATTTTATTTATCTTTCTTTTTAAAATCAATGCCACTTTTCGTTGTAATGTGATAACTCAACAATACCTTTACCGATTTGGATAACTTGATCTTGAATTATTCGTGGAAGTCCAGAAAAAAAGTTAAAAGTTTGTACCTACATACAGAAAATTTAAAAAAATCTTGAAAGAGCGTCAAATCCACATTTGCATTTGCGGCGCCGCGGCCGACCGCTACTTACTGAATAAAATAAAATTATATCTATGATTAGAGCCGTGTGTATTACTGTGTATGCAGCTACCTAAGACAGTGTGTAAAAATAACTAAAGATAGTACTCATAAGTTTTGACAGACTGTTCGTCGCAATTAGTCCATAACGACATTCACAAATTAAAACAACACGATTAAAATAAAAGCAACAGTACTGAAATGCATACCAATCACCACATTCGAGATTACGTATGTTCATATCTAATAATAACAAATAATTGCTACACCCACTTACACGGATATCCGGATAACAATATTGGCACCTACTTAGATAGACTAGATTTGCATATTGTGATAAATGACGATTGGTAAAAAGAGCGCTCCAAGTATAAGCGGCAATGCGTTGCGAAATAGCTGCGTTCACAATACAAACTTATCCTTTCACAACTGTAACTAAAGAGTTGATTCTGAAAGAGAATCTGAGAGAGAAGTTTGATTTAATTTATTTTTAATGCTATTAGGTTCAAAGCATTTTAGGGAAGACTTTTTATTATACTTTCATTGTCCTAAAGAAACAATAAGAAATAAAAGATGATTCCAACGTTAAGTTAATGGTGATGAATGCAAGAATCTTCTGAACGCGCGTACTTTTTTGCATGTAAAAAGTAAACCGCGTTCATGTGGGCCCGATTGCACTAAGACGAAACGGCGGTATCCCACTAGAGATACATTACATACAATATTATTACATACAATATTCAAATATTATTTAAATATTGTAGACCCTAGGTATGTTTATCATTTTACTAATCGTATCTTTTTTGTTTTCAGACAATCACAATGGAAGGCACGGATATTAAAGCGACAGTGTACTACGAACAAATTGAATAACATTTACTGCTGCCTTGTTATAAAATTGTATCATAATTATTCTTAAACTCTATTTACATATATTTGTATTATTAAGTATTCAATAAGGAAAATAATGAAAAACGTATGGATATTCAGTGGTACTGGCCGTTTAGAAAACTCGAGAAAAAAATTAAATAAATTTGGAATTCCTTATTTGAATAGTATAATTGGAATTATTTAATAAAACATGTGTGTATTTCATAAAATAGTTATAAGACTTAAAATTAAATATAACTTGCATTTCCATTATTGTTATTTATTTTACTTCGTAGATTTACGAACCTGAAAGCCAACAGTATCATTTTAGTTCTTTAAGAAAAGATTACCAAGCATTGAAAACCTTTTTTCAAAGATTATTTAAAGTAACATAGCAAAATTGTATAAAATAATGCCATCCCAATCCATCCAGCAAACAGATTGCTCTGTTTTAGTTTTAGACAATTCAGCAAAAGTATTGCTATTTTAGCTTTATACAAACCTCTTACATCCTTTTAGTAACATAGTCATAGACTTATTAATCCTATTCACCTCATTTTCGCTGCAAAAGAGGTTATAAATAAAGAGTCGTATATCAAGTATGTGATCGCAATCACGCCGCAGAGCCATAAGTCACACAGACCGTGGTACTATATCACAAATACTATTATATTTACATAATTACTTCACACCTGAGCTTATTCACCACGCCCATAGCTATTGTTTAAGAAACATACAACACATGTAGTCTGGGAATGTGTAACATATGACTGGATAACGAACTATATCTACATATTTCAATGCTGTTCGTTAATGCCGCTTAAACTCCAGAACGGCTGAATCGATTAGAGTCATTTTGGTCTTAAAATATTTATATTCAATTGCTAATTTTGATGTGGTGCGAAGTTTAGCCGAGCAGCTAGTTCTTTAATTAAAATATGCATATAAATTGATATGCATATGGAAAGGGCTATGCTTGGAGTCTCTCTGAAGGATCATTTTCGAAACGAGGTGATCCGACAGAGAACTAAAGTTATCGACATAGCCCAAAGGATTAGCAAACGAAAGTGGCAGTGGGCAGGTCACATCTGTCGAAGAACCGATGACCGATGGAGTAAACGTGTTCTAGAGTGGAGACCACGTCTAGGCAAACGTAGTGTTGGGCGCCCTCCAGCTAGGTGAACTGACGACATCCGCAGGGTGGCTGGCAGTGGTTGGATGAAAAGAGCTGAACATCGAGCTCAGTGGCGTGCAATTGGGGAGGCCTATGTCCAGCAGTGGACGACAACATGCTGATGATGATGATGATGATGATGATGATATAAATTGATTACACTCGTTGGTAGGTACCTAAACTGGTTTTAACACAGTAAATTCGCTTTGGTCATTCAGCTAATGTTTAGTACATCTTCACCCAATAAATGACCACTGCTTAGAAAGGTTTCTTTGTATCACACATAACATTAATCACCTCGCCTGCTTAACGTCGTTTGGCTATTTCAAACTTGTACTTAAAAGTGATTCGTCTAAATTTCCTCACGGTGTTTTCTGTCACCGCATATCAGAGAGGGACGGGAAGGATTTAGCCTCCGGCAACCTCAATCACACGGCGAAACACAGCGCTGTGGTTGTTTCACGCAGATTTTCTGTGAGGCCGTCGTATCACTCCGGTCGAGCCGACCCATTTGTGCCGAAGCATGGCTCTCCTACACTTAAAACATACATCTGGAAGCATGATACATTATAACCTGCAAAAGTCCATTGCTGTTTACAGGCTAAAAGTCACCCACTGCCACATGAACCATGAGTTCAAGATAGGCCGTTATATCGATATCATGAACTCATAATAAAGAAACAATCAGCCGTGTACAGATCACACGCGGCTAAATCGAATTGAAGTATGTGGGTCACCTGCGTTACCTTTTGTGGGCACTGCGATGTAAGCCTTAATGAACGCATGCCGCGCCCCGGGCTCTGGCAGCCGTGCAGGGCTGCCAACATAACAAGTTTAAAGAATAAACTTATTTAAAAATATCATTGGCAACATAAGAACAGTTTTTTTATCCATTTATTTCATAAATGATATCTTGTTTATTTATAAATTACGGTACCCAAATCATTAAATTCTTAGGGTAGGTATCCAGATTTGTTTATCCTACCCTTTCTTGTGAACATCATCTAATTAGGTACTTTTCTCGCCCTTGATGAGGAGAGAGCGAGTGTCAGACTCTTATTAACTAAAAACACAACCGTTCCTTTTCCTTCCAGGCCGAGGCCGCAGAGCCTTTAGCGCTTGCTCCACAACCCACACAACTGTTATTTAGATTTTTTTGAATTTGGAATTTTTATTTTTATTTTTATTTTACAATGATATTATAAGTAAAAAGGTGTAGATAAGTTACAAACGCTCAGCAAGTGATACATTAAAATGTGGCTAACTAGCCCACTTTAAAATGTGTCATAATACGGTTTATTCATGTGTGTATAAGTGTGCCGTCTTTGAAAATCGAATGTTGTTTATGTAACCTATCTATACCGTTTACTTATAATATCATTGTTATTTTAGGTTAGGTCGAACTACATTGTTGACTGAGTAATTGAAATACGCAATATAACTATATTTAGGTATACATTTTTTGAACATAACTCATATCAGGTTAACAAGTAAAGTAGTACGTCTAGAGAAAAAATATTCTGACCAGTTCTATCAATACACATTTCGTAGCTACTTACTTATAAAGTATTATTATATATTATATTTATATTATATTTTCATCATCATACAAAACAACCCATTTTTTAAACCTTAAAACAATACTGCCAACCCTACACCAGCGCCGCGTATAACGTGCGTACTCATAATCATGGCATTAACCTTATCGGACAATGACAAACCTACGGTTTAAGTAGCCAGGTAGCCACACGAATCGGTAAACGTAACCGCGTTAACTGTTAGATAACCATCAGCCTTTATATGCAAGGAACAGTCATTATAAAACAAAAGAAAGTAGCAAGTAACATGGTACGTGAAGCCCTAAGAATGCTTGAAGTACTTGGGGCAAACGAAACAAATGATCGTCGCTCTTGGACACTGACTACACTAGAGTGCAAAGGGGTGAGGGAGAGGGTAAGGTTTGGGACACCGGTGGCCTTCTTCTTCTTACAAGAACAACGAAACGAAACGAGCGTTGATTGACGCCAGTTTCCTTTGAGATTGTAATATTTGCAACATGACTCTTCCACGTCTATATTATTATTGGGCGGTATACTTATTCATTGTGTTAAAAAGGAGGCATTTCTTGTACGTTCCTCCTTATTCGGATCTACACTTTGGAACGAGCACCTAGCACCATTGGCAAACAGAATGACAAACAATTATTCTATTTTGCCTTTTCAAAAGTACCTACCTGTTTGTGGCCTCTGTAGTAATAAAAAAATCTAATTTGTCCCAAAACGAAAATGCTATTACCTAAATAGTTTCCTACAAGATCTAGTAACTACAAGATAGTTTCATACAATTGTAATTATTATCAATAACGAAATTATGTATTCATAAATAATATAAAATATATAACTACCGATTCAAAAACACACAGAACAATAATGATAAAAGCTCTTGCGAAACGCAACACGAGCCGAATCCAAACACACACGTGCAACAAAAGGGTACAACTCAATTTAAATCAATCTATAAACAATAAATAAAGTCTTAATTTCTAATCAAATGTTCAAAATCTTACAATATGTTAATTATGGATATGTTATATGTTAATTATACAATAATAATGGAGAACGTAGGTGTGGTAATTTAGACAACCAAGTACAATCTACATGTGGCTGTAAACTAGCTTCCGCCCGCGACTTTACATGCGTATAAAAGTAATGTATTCCATCATTTTAAAACCAGCAGCGTTCGAAGCGATAGTTCGAGTAAAATGCGCATCAAGTATAATGTATAGCCTACTAGCTTTTGCCCGCAACTCCGTTGGCGTGGAATTGTGACTTCCTGTAGATTTTTGTTATAAAAACTATCCTATGTCCTTTCTCGAGTTCCAAATTATGTCTGTACCAAATTTCACAAAAATCGGTTTAATAGTTTGTGCCTAATATTAGTTTGGAAGTTTGGATAGCACTCAGGAACATTGTAGCTATCTATCAGTGATTTTTGGAAATCCGACCAGCTGTTTCAAAGATTACCACACACAAACTTACAAATTTTACCTCTCAAATAGTACAGATTAATAACTTATGCAATACATTTTGCATACACCCCATATGCAGTTGCAATTTTAGCGTTGTGCATGACACCTGTCCAATATATGAACTTGTTATAGCATGTCGAAATCTTGGCCTGTACTGATAACGAATGTAATATGTGCAATGGGAATGTAAACTAGATATGGCAGTGTTGGAATTATTGCCAAATGTACATATTTTTGAATCGTAAATCCGTAGTGCTCTGTGCGGTTTACCTACTCAATAAGTTAGTATTATTTAGGTTAGAATATAAATTTTCGGTATTACATTAAATACCTAAAATTTAACAATAAATATTAACAATAAATGATATTCCGTCATGTGTTTGGCTAAATGTTTACCATTATAACGAAATAAACACATGGTCAATTTGTGTTAATTTCAAAAGCTGGCTATATTCAGTTTCTCCGAAGAAAATGAATCTTTAAGCCATTTATACGTATAGTAACCGCAAATAAAAATCTTTAAAGGATAAAGGAAACGCGCACTACATTGACCACAACTCCTTAAGTACGATATCAGTATTTTCAAGCCTAGTGGGTAACAATCTTTCAAACGTAACTTAACCATATATGAAGGTATAGGAGTAAGGAAAACGAGCAAACGGATAACCTGATGGTAAGCAATCAGCGCCGCCCATGGACACCCACGGCATGGCAACGACGGGGAAGTAACGAGTGCGTTGCTGACCTTTTAGGGATTAGGGAGTTGGAGATTTTGGGAATTAGGAGGGATTGGGGGAGGGGAAGGATTGGGCCTTCGGTAACCTCACTTACACGGCGAAACACAACAATGTGGTTGTTGCACGCCGGTTTTCTGTGAGGCCGTGGTATCACTCCGGTCGAGCCGACCCATTCGTGCCGAAGCATGGCTCTCCCACGCTTGAGAATTTATCTAATAATGTGCCATTTTAACTTTTATTCTTCTATAATGGGTTTATAATTGAGAATACCATACTATCCCATGTCAGTTGTAAAGAAGGCCAATTCCGTATAGTTTGTTCAATGTTGTCAACAATCACATACGAGTAACTAGTAGAAAGCTAAACCTTTAAAAGTAAATACTTAGCTACTTACTAAGTGAAATTAACAATTGCATCATCATCGCTCGTAGACGCAGTAATCCGGATTACGGAGTTGACAGCTTGCGTCACTACTGTTGACTTTTACTGGTACTGCTCATGTCAATCATATGGTGTTTAATGGCATAAGTAAACCCTTTCATTTCGAAGAGGGAAATGCTCATATGACTTCTCTAGCTCAGGCACTCAGGGTATGGCGAGAGGGATTGACAGACTCGTACTCAATAAAAAACCTCCTCGTTCCTTCTCCTGCTCAAGGCCGGAGCTGCGGTTGTGCTTACCCTACAACCTCGTAATGTATGTCGGGGTAAGGACAGAAGTATAGGGTCCATAGTGACAGACTCTGAACAAATATATTTATGAATTTCGTAAAAGAGTCAACCCATTTTAAGAGTAAGCAAATGAAAACCAAATCATATTTTTACTACTAACTTTAAAGGGAGCTTTTGACTATATTTCTAGATAAAACAATCATTACAGTAACCATCGTAACTTTTTTCTCTTCTTTTCTTCAAGGACAGTGTCCTTGCTCCGCACAAACACTATTGTTGACTGTTAGAACCTTAAGTTAAGCCAAGTCCGTCATTAAGACTGCGTATTGTGTGAAGAAGAAATGAAAAAACAAATAAATAAATACATTTATTTATTATTGCTTAAAAGGTACATTTTACATTATAAAAAGTAAAAAATGTCCAACAAAACATAAATGTATTACCAACAACTCAACACAACTTCTCCTTTCATTTCGTCAAGTTCTCACAAAATCAAACCTTGTTCATTAAAAACTGAATTTATGTCAAAGTCTAGACTTGGCATAAGGAAATTGATCAGAGGTCGTATTATTCAGAATGCTGAAGTAACATTGACCATGATTGTTGATTCAGAAACACAGCAATTAGTGTCGACAAGTTCAGATTCTGCCAGCGGCAAGGGCAACCCCTTGACCAGATTTATAATATAATTATTATAGCCAGGAGATGAGACTAGTATGTTTAAAAATATTATCATCGTTATCATCAGTGCAGCTGAGCAAAGCCTTTTTGTCATAAGGCTTGACCGTGGACCAATACCCTTGATCAAGGTGATTTGGCGATTTCAAACTTATAATCATTCGATCAGAAGTTATTAGAGATTTCCTCAAGATCTTTTCCTTCACTGTATGTCTGAGGTGCCTAAATGATCTTGGAACAGTACCTACATATTATAACCCGGAAAAACATTTCAGCATTAGAAAAGGGTGATGACAAGACACTCAATAGTCAGATAAAATAAGTTATGGATTATATATAAGACTTTTCAGTTGTACCGAAATTTTTTTTTTTTTTCATATTTGAATAGTCGTGTAATTAGGTACGTACGAATAAAAAGAAAAAAGCTTTTGTACCTTTCCATACCAAAAGATTGGCATATCAGCCAGTACCGGGTGTAAACAACTATTGTTACGCTGGAACGAACCGTATAGAAGTGACATTGAATTCGATTTTCAAAATGAAGTGAATTAATAATTTGTAATTGTAATGAATTAATAAATAATCATTCCATAGCGTGTAAGTCTTTGGACCGCCTGATAAAGAATTATAACGATTCTGATCTAGAACAAGCAATTAACACAAACTTCATAGGAATTATCTTATCATTATAAATTACTTCACTCACGTACCAAATGTCACACGATTTAAAATTTACATATCTAAACAAACGTGAGCAATATCTTTATCAGATACATAAGTATTAAGTATTAAATAACTGATACGTATGTAACATGCCTACTATGATATCATTGAAGATATTTAAAAAAAGAACCCCCGTAGGCATGACTGATTGCTAGATTAACTTAATAAGCACTTTGGTGTTGATATGATATATCTATCTCTATTCTGAATTACCTAGTATAGTAAGTATACGTATACAATTTTGCTATGCAACTAATCGTTGCAATTATAATAGGTAGTCATTAATTTGTAATCTAATTAGTTATTGGCGAGCGTAAGCTTCGTTATCTGGCAGCGTTCTCATTATTATTATGTAAGAAATTATAATGAATATTGGTGTAAATTTTAGTACTAGGCTGAGAGATTGTGATTACTCTTAGTATCAATGTTTCTCACCTGTTATTGTAATTAGTACCGTAATTGGTTTAGCAATAGATTGCTTCTTGGGTTTCCTAAAGCTAAACCACTCCTATTCTTTTGAAGCAGCCCGATGTC